TGGAGCAAAGTTTTCCTTCCTGCATACATTCACCTTGTATTTCGACTTCAGAAATAGCCTTAACTTCAGTTGCTTACATCACTTACACAGTGACTTACAGTGTTTCTTTTAAAATACTTGCAGTCTGCTCTGAAGGTTAACTTGCTTGGATGGACAAGCCTGGGGATGCTCGCAATCACTTTGACTTTCCTCCACTTTTATACTGTTTTCCATGCAGTGAAATAGCTGATTTTAAACCCTCACAGATACAGAGACGCTTAAATCTTCATTCCGAAGCACCCAGATGGCTCATCTGATTTTAGATATTGTTCTGCACTGACGTGTTAACCTCCAGTCTAGGGTGTCCTAATTTTTTTCACGACATTCTTTCAGGTTGAAGAAATGGCAGCCCACTTTGTCTCAGGTTGAGGAGAAAAAGGATATATTTCTGCTAAGCCTTCTTTCATTAGTTGCTGTGTGCTGCTCATCGGCCTTCAGTCAGAGAGCTGAGGCTGATGAGCAGCGACGGTGAAGCTTTTCCATGGCAGATTTTCCGTTGCTTTGCGTCCTCAAGGAGGATGTCGTTAATCGACCGCCTATAAAGACTGCAGCGCCCGTGCCAGGACCTTAGGAAATTGATCTGAAAGGAAGGCAAAGTGCCCAAATGGATAAGTAAGTTCAGGTGGTTCTGTGCTGCGGGTCGTCATGATCGTGTGACTCGGGCTGCACAAAGCGCGGCTGCTCCGAGATGCTCTCAAAAAATTTGATATGTTGATCTAAATGAATCGATTTTCGGCACTGGTTGCAGCATTGGATGTCATCCAGGTGCAGAGAGACTCTGGGTTTGTTCCTGGACTGAGAGAGAAAAGGACAAGAGCTGCTTTTCAGAATCGACGCTGTAATTTAAGATTCTGCTCAAATATTTAGCCGGATTTTACTGTTTTACTTCACTGCTGCCTCACTGAACCGTACAATAATCACAATACTACAGGGAACTTTCAAATTATAAAAAATAGTGACAGTAATAACAGAATTAAGCTATAATTATAATCTGCATTTATATGTTTTTCTAATGCATACAAAAAACTTTTAAACTCACCTTTTCGACACAGTCGGAGACCTTCATTAAACTCAGTCTGTGTTAAAACACACTGGCTCTCAAAAGTGTACTCATCTTTTAAATAGCAGACTTCTGTGATGTGAAACCATAAATTGTCTTAAGACTTTTTCTGCACTTGATGTGACTAATATTCTGTCAAATCCAGCAGGAAAATGGAGAAATAAAGAAGCTGCAACAGTGGACAATGGTAACTTTGTTGCAGAACATTTTGATTCATTTTTCAGGAGGAGTCGGTCAGTGTCTTACATCTTGCCTCATCAGTATATGGGAGCTAAAACGTGCCAAAGTTCTGCAGTTCTATCAGTGAGGACATCTCTTGTCCACAGCCCTCTTCAGCCAACTTTATTAATTTTCTGTCAAATTTAATGCAGCTGTTCTCTCATGAAGCCAATTTGTCGCATGCTTGGACTCACTGTGTTGTAAAAGATATAAAAAAAAATTCACTTGATCTTTATCTTTCCTTCTGACCCCTAAAGTTTTAAAGATCTTCAGTTTTTTTTTTTTTTTTGCTGTTGTTAAACTTACATTTTAGTCTCATTGGACCAAAACACTTTCTCCCACAAGGTTTTTGGAAATCTTAGCCAAATCAAAATCCAAGAGGATTTCCAAACACCTGAGAAATAGTATTTAATTTTCAAGTTGGAAAACTAATAAAAAAGGACAAAGCTTTAATTTTTGCTTCTTTGTACAACTTTTGTTGTTCATGTCTTGTTATTCTGCTCGTAGTAGTTAGTCTGATCAACTATAACCTCAGACAGATTTTTTTTTTTTTATTTAATTTAATTGATATTATTTTATTTACTGTATAAAACCAGAAACCTTCCTCTCAGGTACGGACTGATTCGGTTTGCAGGCATGCCTCATAACAACAGGAATGCTGAATGTGCGCTGCGTTTTCTCTTAACACCAGATTATTGTTTTCTGCATCTAGAACAAAAAACCTCAAGCCCTGACACAGCTTCTTTTTCCTTGGAACTTGTGCTGGAGGACACTTGAGCCCCCACGAGAGAAGCAGGTCTTCATCTATCATCTCAGGAGCTGTTTTTGGGGTTGCAGTGATGCAGCGCCCAATCGGAGCTTCTCACGGATGCAATGTGGGAACACTGCAGGAGTCTGTTGGCTAAAAATAGTGCTCTCTGTGCGCAATGGTTTTTCTTCCTCTTTCCTTGAGGTCCTCTTGAGAGGATGAAGTGCATATTTAAAATGTCAACAAGAGCGGATCCATTTCGCTACTTAAGCGGAGTGAAGGGTTCGCTGGCGACTGGGCAGGGAGCCTGGATTAATGTTCAGACAAATTTCTCGCTTTGCAGAAAACACTGAAGTCATATTGAATTAAAAGTGCATTTCAACAATGTGTGCTTTCATATTTTTTGATTAGCTGCTGAGCACACGCCTGATAATTAAGCACTTGCACTAAGCAGGCATTAAGAAATGCATGTGTGAGCAGGAAAATATAACGTGTTTTGGTGAAAACTATACCGCTGTCTGGGCGAAAGAAACCAGAGTGTGTGGCAGCGACACCAAAAAAGACAATTTTATCCATGACAAAAAAATAAAAATAAAAAATAGTATAGCAACCAACGGATTATCCTGCATCATCAAGTTCAGACGCAGGCAGAAATTTCACAGCTGGCAGGTCCCTCCATGCGTGCTGTCAAAATGCCTCCGCAGAGGCACAAAGAAATAAAAGAGACGGAGTTCTGGAAACAGAGCTAAGAAAACTTCACATGCAGAAAAAGAAAGGCTGAAATGTCCAGCAGTGCCATTAGCCGGAGCAGAGATCTGAACGGAGACAGCAGGTGCTGTGGGCTGATGAGCAAAAAAATAAATAAATAAATAAAATTACAATATTTGAATCTGATAGAAAGCAATCCACGGCGGAGAGGCTGAAGGAGCTGTGAAAAAATGATGGGAATGGAGGTGGCAGTTTCACACAGACATGTTTCTGGTTTCCAACAAATGGAGCGGGGCGCTGGGTCTTCAGATCTCAGAAGCACAAGCTGATACTTGTCTGTCAAGCTGCAAATGATTGGTCATCGTTCTGCAGTGGTACAAGGACTGAAATGTAAAGTGGGAGTGGTGGAAAGCAATTTTCTGACATGCGGAGCGGTACATCTTGAGATGATGGAGTCAGTCTGACATTAAACACACAGAAAAATTAGATTCGTCCACATTAGTTTCATTTTTGCCTTTTCGTTTTTTTTTTTACTTTTCACGTCCAGCACTGGTTATTTCACATTCGCTGTCATATCTAAGCAAATAAATCTCTTCCGCAGAAATACAACCACTTTAAACGGGTTTATTCTAATTTAACTTTTTGTCACACACTTGTCAGGTCGCATTCTGGTCCTTCTGAAATGTGAGAGATTATAGATAATGATCAAATCAAAATAACTCGGAGTACTCACCTGCTGACAGACGTTAGTACTAAGTTCAAAGGTCACAGATGGCTATATTTCATATCCTGAAAAGTCAGGCTATGACAAAAATATTCACATCTCTGGCAAATCTGGATGAACAATCCTTTCATTCAGTCAACATATTAATTTAGACTGGAGGCAATTAATTTCTGTCCTTGACAGGACTAGTAAGACATCTGACTTTAATCTAGTAGAAAATCTGTAGAGCAAGCTAAAAAATCAGACTTTGAGATAATCACCAAACAATAAATCCTCAAAACATCAGTGGAAACATTCAAAAAGCCAGACAGCAATTATAAGAAGGGCTTGGGAATGTGCAAATAAAGATTTTTACATCTGTTGTTGAGAAGGCTGTAAATCCTTCCAACGTGCCCCATAAGAAACAAAGTCCTCGGTTAATTGAAAATAAATTTAGATCTGAATCTTTCAGGGGTATAAATAATTGTGGGAATAAACAAAGCATGAAATTGCATAGTCAGCATCTATTGAATGGTTGTGACAAAGCAAAACATGAAGGGATCATAAACCGTCCTGCAACTTACAAGACTCTCTTAGTGGCAGAAACGACTGCTTTTCTGACTTCCAGTAGCCAATAGCTGTGCTGCAGATCCAACTTCAGGTTGTTTTTAAACAGAAACAACATCAAAATAACTTTTGATGCCATGGCTGGTGAAGAATTTAGTCGCTAAAACCTGTAGCCATCGCACCTCATCTCAGATTTCTGTACTGGTGCAAATCTTAATAAAACCGCTTTCACAGAGACCAAGAAGGTTCACATTTTTTACATAGAATTCTAACCCATTTATTTCGTCTTTTAGCACATTTACAGTCAGCGAACCCACCAATCCCGCTGCCATTTGCTCTACCTACACAAAGTCTTCTCACCAGTACATAACGACAACATCAGACAAAAAGTAATACAAACAGATCAAGGCAGTGCTTCCCTCAGTACATTAGTCTCGCCCACCAACACTCTTTTTCACCCATCAGACAAAAAACAGTGAATTGAGATTTTGTTTGATATTGCATAATTATGCTAAGGGTGAGATGACATGCAGTGCTGTTGCCGAAGCATACTTAATATGTTTGTGTGTGTGTGAGAGAGAGAGAGAGAGAGAGAGAGAGAGAGAGAGAGAGAAAGAGACAGAGAGAGAGAGAGAGAGAGCTCGGTGAAATATAGAGATAATGCGTTGCTAGCTCACAGCACCATCTGGGTACATCCGCTTTAAAAAGCAGCCATTGTGGGCGACTGCACATGCAGAATGTGGTAGGTCGGTGAACAGAAACGATGTTTCCCCTGAGGTCGCTTGTTGTCAGTGATGCTATGACCTGGTGTATACCTTTCGTTCTCGTCTCCTCACGGAGAGAGCAGGACGTTTCGTATTAAGTCTCAGTCTGATTTACACGTGTGCATGTCATTCACAACACTGTGCAAAGGTTACGGATAAATAAATCGCGCTGCTTCGTATTTTTTTTGTGTGTGTGTGCTTTGCAATCCATCCTGGCAGGACAGTCATATTCTCTGGTACAATATGTGCCTCAGAGTGCGCAGTGCATCGATAATGCTTTGTAATACTCTTTACTGGCGGTGATATGACACTATAGCACCATCTCGCTGTCTTTACTTCCCCCTTTCCCGCTCATTTTTTAGAGTCTGTACTTTCTTAGGAGCTCGGATTGCCACATGTACTTCCTCTCCGGGAAGTGATCGGGAATCCTAATGCGCCGGAAGTCCTGAATGCATTTCTGCAGCTCCTGCTCCGGAGTCATCTTCTCTTTGTGTGCTTTCCTCTTGGCGGCGTCACGCTCCCGCACGCCGAAGGTCCTCACGCGCAGCATGTCCGTCTTGCGGCGCATCTCGGCCTGCTGCTGCAGCATGAGGGCCGGGCCTTTGGGCACAGGTCGGTCCAGGGTCTGGATTTTGGACTGACGGCTGACGGGCGCGTGTATCACGGTTCCCTGTGGGGTGCTGGCCTCCGACTGGGTCTCGGAGCAGGACGTGGAGAGGTCATTGAAGGAGGTGCCGCTCTCGCCCTCGCGCTCACTTTTGTGGCTCTTGCAGCAGCAGTCACAGTGAGAGGACGACCACCGCGATGGCCCGCCTAGGACAAAGCACGCAAAGACATTGGTTCGTTTAATTGCTGGCAAATTGAAGCCATTTCACATTTTGAGGCTTTACAAGCACAATTTCTAATGCATTTTATTGTTATTTTAGGTGATAGACCAACACAAAGTAAGTCAGTAGAAAATATATAAAAGGCTGGACGATTAAACTGCAAATCTATCAAGATTTAGTCATCTACCTAAACCTGGAGGAGCTGTAAAGAGTCAGGAGAACCACTGACTCCACATGTCTGTCTGCTATGAATATGTGACAAAACAGAAAGGCGTGAAAGATCCTGTTTGCAATCAGCTGCATGTCAGGTAGTGGGCTGTCTGCTACTTGATTCAGGTGTGTTGGAGAAACGATTCATTGACATGTTGAAGGACATCTCAAGGACTTGACTTGGGCATCCCTGATTTAGACCACAGCCTATTTGGTATAAATAAATGTTTTGCAAACTGCTAGTCTTGGCCGGGATTCTCTTGCAAAAGAGATTTTTAATCTCAGTGGGATTTTCCTAGAGATACAAAGGTTAATAATAAGCAATGAGTTTGTCTCAAAGTTCAGACCTACATAGATCCAACTCAGAATCCCTTCGACTGCAATGAAAATCTGGCACAAAAGTCAACACATCCTTCAAGACTGGCAGCTGTAATTGCATCAAATAAATACAGACTGTTTTGGTGTTGATTCTCCACAATGCAGAGCAAACTTCTCCAATTTTGAAATGATTAAATTAGTATTTTCTTTCTACTTCACAGTTATGCGCTTTTCTCGTCCGTCTGTGACACCGAATGGAAATATAGTTAATTTAAATTTGAAGTTTCAATGTACAAAACGAAAATGCCAAAGGCTTCATCTGATATTTGTGGAACAATGTCAGATGATTGTATGTGCAGATATTTAAGGGGTGCAGCAGTTTGAACATCTGATTTCTCGTGTGATATTCAGTGTTTAATCCAAAAAAGAAAAAGAAAAAGCTAGTGAGCTGTGCATGTTGCTCTCTGTGATAAGTCGACCCCCCCAGAGCTCAAACAGCTCACCACGGCTTGCTGAAAGACCTTTCCCATTTCCCACGGCAAACCTCGCCTCAAACCCAACGCAATCTGCTCATACCTTGACAGTTTCTAATTAGACCTGTAGCCGCACCGCCAAGACGGAGGCACGCTAGCTTTGTTTCGGATCAGTTAGTCACATGAGCCAAAAGTGATGTGGTTTCTACCTTTAGGGAGGCGCAGAGGTAAATTTAAAATAATAATAATAATAATAATAATAATAATAAAAACAGGCCAGCAACCTGCAGGGTAGAGAGAAAGCGAATGCATTCGGCAGTTGAACCTGAGGGTCTCCTGGTCTCTTTGAGTTTGGATAAATCGGCACAAGCAGAAGATTCCAGCTGCATTTTTTCCTCTCTCTTTTCTTGTACATTCCTTTCGTTTCATCTCACATCCTCCTACACAGCTAATTGCGAGGCAGAAATACTGTACAGTACAGTGCTGCCTGCTGGCTCGAGAAGTGCTAGAGTAAAGTCACTGGCACCGTCTTTTTTTTCCCCCAAAATAACCGAGATCGCTTAGATCCGCTTGCAGCCAGAGATGTGCTGTGGAAGTAGTAGAACTGCTAACTGTATGTAAACAGAAAACACAAACTCTGAAGACCTCTTAATAGCTTTTTTTTTTTTTCTTCCTAATGGGATGATGCAAACTCGATAGCAGGGACATCTCAGGGGTGGAACAATGATTCGTCCATTGCCTCCCTCCAGCACATGCACCAATTTAAAACAGGCAGAGTTCAAGGGGGATTTTAACCTCTCTGCGCGGACTATAATAACGACCTTATCTCTGCTGCGATGATTGCATTGAGCTGATATAGTTGGAGAGTCGCTAACAGCTTTTTAATGGCTAATCCATGAGTAAAGAGGCCAATCAGCGCACCAATTTCCCCCCGCAGAAAATGAATCTGGCTGAATCCGGCAGCAGACGAGCAGCGCAAATGGGAAATGGATGCAGGCGCTTCAGTAAAGGAGGATCAGGAGCAGGAGGAGGCGGAGGCAGAGCATTGTTTCTAAATGGATGGATGCTGTAGTCCAGAGGGGCAGCCCGATTAGGAAACGAGCCAACACCCAATAATAGCAACTGAAAAAATTTCCAGGCCATGCAAGAGAGTGAGTAATTAGCAAGGCGGTGAGAGAAAAGTACCTGGAGGTCTTATTTTAGTGATGGAAAATCACATATTAAAACACAAAGTTTTGTGTTATGTAATTTCAGCTGGGGCAAAAAAAAAAAAAAAAAACTAGTCCCAAGAGCAATCACTTTGGCTGTAATCTCAGATCTTAATGAGATTTTTACAGCTATTAGGGGCTTTTTTTCTGCAAGTTATTGTTAGGAAAAACCAAATGAGGCAATTTTTTTATAAGATCTGACATCTCTTTTTGTCCCTGCAATCATCAGCAATCAGAGGCGCTTAGCAGCTGCCAAACACCCTGAATATTCAAACGAGTGATTTCAAAACAAGAAACGAGAAGAGCTGGTAAGTAGAGAGCAAACTGCATTTCAGTCGCCGCTTCCTGTATTTTTAAGGAAGACCAAGTGATTGTGACATTTAAATAAGTAATACATTTAAGTAAAGCTTTTATTGCTGGTCCAGATGGCAACAAGAAGAACTTAAAGAGCTTCAAATCAGAACATCAGCAGAACCAAAATAATGGAAAAAAAGCAAATACGGATATGATACAAATAAATCCGGTTTTGCTTTTGAAAAGCATGCCAACAAAAATCTGACACAAATCATTTCCAGTGAAGGGTTAAATAAAACAAATATTTCTTTCTCTCGGAACAGTCATGGAGTCTTGACAAAAGTTCAGTCTGGAAGACTCTAGTCGCACCTGCCTCATCAATCAGCGCCCGCCTCTCTGCAACCTGGACCTATCGGCGCGGACCAAGCCTCGCTCCAGCCAATCATCGTTTGGGCTTCAGTTCAAAAGGACCTTCACCCATAGCCTCCTCTGCTCACCAGCTGCGATCAACCCACCTCCACCCCATCTCCACCCGGCTCTCAGGCCTCATCTTCCTCCGACCGCCAGTACAGGCCCCGGGGGTCTACATTCCTATGCTGCATCAGGAATGTTCATCGAGCTCATCGAAGTCCAGCTCGATGTCCCCGGCCGGGGCCTGAACGCCAAAGGACTTTTTATTTTCATGTTCATTTTGTCATTAAACTCTTTTAATCGCCTTCTTTCTCCATTTGAGTCTCTCCAGATTGAAATAGCAAAACCCTTAAAATAATAAAGAAATCAGTAGATCATTGATATTCTGAAGGTTATTCCACAGAAAAATGTTTTACCGACTGAAAACATTTACCTATATTTCTTTTATTTAGACCAACTAAATAATGAAGCAACACAAGCTAAAAAAAAAAAAAAAAAACTTTTTAGAATTACAAGGTACTTCTCTGATTTAAAGAGATACATCCAAAAAGTACAAAGCCTGAGAGCCTTCGTTTATTACAAAGGGAATAAGCTTTTGCAGCGTCCACTTGCAAATGTTGAGTTTGACCTCCGTTTCTTGCAGTGATTCTCTGTAGCATAGATATAACTAAGTGTTAATATTCCTCAGACTGTAGATTCCTCAACTGCACATCCATGATGTTGATGCCCCCTTACACCACCTCCCAAAGGTGCTCTACTTTATTAAGATCTGGTGACTGGAAGCCGCTAAGGCAATTGGTTTCATGCTTTCCTGTTGTTTACACCAAATCCTGACCCAACGAACTGAAGGCTGCAGCTCAAACTGAGGAGAGGCAACCACTGTCCGATTTATTATCGGCCAATACTGGTGAGCCTGTGCGAATCTTAGCCTCAGTTTCCCATTCACAGCTGAAAGAAATTGCCCACAGAGTGGTTTTCACTCCTGTAGTTTATATTCTTCAAAGTTCACAATTTTGTGCATTTACAGGTGATATTTTGTTGATATGCTGCTACTTTCTTTTTTTTTTTAAATCATTGTGGAAGCAGTCCTCCCATTGACACATTGTATCCCCAAGGTTCAACAACACAACTGCTGCTCTGTGGATGTTTTCTGTTTTTATTCACCATCGTCTTTAAATAAGAGAAATATTTATACCTGAAAATCCCAATAAATCATCAGATTCTGAAATGCAAGGTGGTATTTTCTTTTTTTTAAGATAACACACCAGGTTATCCCTGAGTGGAAAAAAAATATTGTCAGTGGTTTGTATTTCTACTTTACAGAATCAAAAGCTTTAGCCAAAGAATGCTGTTTATTTTTTAATGACTTCACGATAACGTTCGTAGCCACCATTGCTGATGTAAATCTAAAACCCAAGGAAGAAGAAGAAGAATATAGGAAGGTTTATAATATCCAACTTGAATAAATAAATCCCAAAACATCCAGAATTTGAATCCGTGGCTGAATAAAAGATGAAGAGTTGCATTCTTCTCTTTAAACAAGTGGGTGTGTTCACTTTACTATCTTTTCAGGGAAGCTATTGATTGAAATGTGTTTTTCTCAGCTCCGTGCAGCCTGTCTGAGAGATCTGATTTCCTCCACATTAACAGACCCAGGCTGGTTCCGAAACCAGACTGAGGCTGTGTGTCTGAACTCCTTATAAATAACACAGAGATGGAGTTGAGCTCAGCACAGAGCATGTCTCACGGGGTATCCCCCATCCCCTCCGCCCTCCCGACTCCCTCCACTCAACAATGACAGCGGCGATGTTTGTCCTCGTCATGCCCGAGAGAGATCAGTTTTGTGGAGATGTGAGTGCTTGTAGATTTTAGAGGCTCTAATTGGCAGAAAAGTAGGACATGACGTGGACTGAAGGCAGAGTTCTCTGACAAATTCAGATGTAAAATGTCACTGAGTTTATTTCCCACCGTCCATTTTTCTATATAATTTGAGCTTCTTAACTGACTCATTAAAGGCACCTCTGCACAGCATTTTGACAATTGTTGAGAAAATAAATTTAAAATAAGCTAGTTTTAAAACTAAGCATGTCTTGATTCAAATGGCCTAAATTGTGGTTTTAAATCAGTGACTTATTCTGGCCTATTGACCTTTATTTTACCTATAGTTCCAGCAGATGGTTTGCTGGGATCGTTTGAATTGCCTTTTGTCTGTGAGAAAACAATACAGTGGAAGTTCCAGCTTTTCACGCTCATCTGTGAGAGTCTGTAAACACGGCAGGGGTTTTAGGCTTCAGATAGAGGGTCAGAGATAGCTCCTGGTTGGAGGAGCAAAGATACGCCTTATTTGAATAAATTAAATACAAGAGGATAAAACTTTCCACACAGAAGTAACAAATCAGATTTGCTCTTGCAATTCTCCAAAGATGTCTTTGCACGTCTTTGCTTTTCTTTCTTTCTTTCCTTCTTTATGTCAGGTAAATGAATGTATGTCTCCGTCGTTCTGCAGTTTCTGGTGTAAGTTTGTGCATTGTCTTACTTCTAAGTTTATGCATTGTCTTATATTGGATTAAACTCTGTAATTCTTTGACGTCAACACACATTGTTGTTTTCCTTGTGGCTACACGTGGCCTGCCGAGAGGACCTGGGATCTAAGGAAGAGAGAGAGCCAACTTTTTTCCAAAGTTAACTATTTTAGAATTTCTTCCTTAACACAATCTTAGAGGGACTTTTAACACTTGAAGCTGAAACCAGATATTTACATACATAAACTGTGCAAAAACATGCATAAACTATTAATTCTCACTGTCTGACATTAAATCATACAGTCTTCAGTTAGGAATACTAACATTTTGTCTCTAGAATTATTAGAGATAATATTTGAGAATACATTTCTTTTTTTTTTTCCAAATTGAGAAGTTGACATTAAATTACTGTGCCTTTCATCTATTTGGGAAAGACTAGACGGTGATGCAAAAGCTTTGTACGGTTTTGATGAAGAACATTTGAGATAATTGGAGGCACACCTGCGGATACATTTCAAGGAAAATTTGGAAAATTTTAAATAAATCAGTCAAGGCAATCAAGAAGGGATTTGAGAGTCTGTAAAAGTGTTTGGACACAATTTCAATCTGCCGATGGAAATTCATAATTTTACATCCCAAAGATAAACAAAACCAGAAAACTTTGTGAAGATGTTTTTTGAAACTGGTAGATGAGCGTCATTATTACTGGTTAAATGAGTCCTGTGTCCTCATGGGCCGAATGACACTCAGTCACGAAGAGGCCATTACTCCAATATCAACATAAAAAGCGAAGACACAGTTTACAAAGACTCTCTTTTTATGGAGACATGCGCTGTGGTCTGACAAAACTAAAATTTTAGTGTAAGACAATAAAGAATACTATTATATTTGGTGTGAATAGGGAGGGGTGTCATGAAACGGTATTAGTTGAGTGGTGAGGTAGACGCAGTAGACCCAGGTAAGTAGAATGAAATGATGATTTAATGATGAAGAGTACAAAAATGCAGGCAGCACAGGAGAGTACAGGCAAGGAGCTCAGAATCTGGTAGCACTGGTGGTAAACAGTAGGCACAAATGGGAACAACAACAGAATAGATGGTGGACAAGACGAGGACTCGACAAGAAACAAGGATCACAGGGAGACAATCAGGGGAAACAAGGAACATGTTTAACTAATCAAGGGGTAGACAGGACAAAAACAGAGAATCAATTGACACAGAAACCAAAATAAACAGAAAAAAACCAAATCCTGACAGGAAGCTTGTAAACCTGTAAAGAATAAGAACAGTAAGGATATTATTATTATTTTTTTTTTTTGCTGCAGCAGGGGCTCATACACAAAATAAACGAATAAAGAACATTATGCAGAAATATTGAAGCAGTTCCTCAAGGCGTCTGCCAGAAAACTGAAACTTAGACGATGACCCAAAGCATACTGTGAGTTAAAAAGTGGCTTGAGGGAATTCAAGTTATTGTTTTGGTTTGGTCACCACTTGTTCTCGGTCTAATAGAAATGTTGTTGGCAGCGATGCGAAGCTGTGTAGGAAAGATGACCTAAAAAACGTACTCTTGTCAGGAGGAATGGGCCAAAGTTTCAGTAAACTATTGTTCTGGAAGGATAATCAGAGTTTAAAGGCAATGTATGTACACGTCAAAGGAAGCTTAAATATATTCATATTCTGACATTTACTAAATATGTTTGATAAACTGAATTGACCTAAAACATTAAGCATTTAGTCTGACTTATTGTCTGACAGGGAGAAAGAAGAGCTATGCTTATTTTAGAAAGTGAACATCATAGTTTCAGCCGTAAGGTTTTACTTTGTCATAGACTCAAGTGACCCAAAGCTGCCTCCTTCCTAAATATGATTTCAGATGAAGTGTGAACTGTAACCTGAGTCAAAATTCATGAGAATAACTTTTAAATAATAATAAAAAAGGAGCGTTTTACATCTACGCTGTCTGAGTGTAACAAAAAAACAACATCTAAGTGGCATGTCTTTTCATTACTGTCTGTTTGCCTGTAACTCAGCCTAACCCAGTGAGACTGAGCAGTTTGAATTATCTTGAAGTGCTTCAGGTGCTGCCTGGCCCAGGTGCAATATCATTTTCTGGCCAAGACTTTGTGAAATAAACAAAACACAGCGAATGCTCCTGACCTTATTTGGAGAGTGGGGAGGGGGGAGTAATCTACATGTGCAATACATCAAGGCTAAATGCAAGTTGACTGAAAATACATGCAGCCTGTCAGCGAGTACATTCTGATGCTGCTGACCAAATATTCCTTAATCTTCCTCCGCCTCGAGGGAAGAATAGCTTACATGCTTGTTAACTCACAAATGAGGCCAGTGTGCCCTTGCAGCACAAAAAGGGCTTGTCTTGCAAATGCAGCGACTGTCCCTACAGCGGGAGGGAAATCCATTTTACAGAGACTCGCTTCATCACCCGATGTCCAGCCTGACTGATGACTACAGCTGTTTCCATGCCATGCAAAATAATGTGTTTCTGAATTTGCCAATAATGATTACTTCCATGAAGAGCTTCAATGTGGACGGAGCTGGGGGTCAGGAGGGGGGGAATTAAGTAAAGTGTTGTGGTGTGCCCCCGTGAAAATCACACGATCTAACTCAAGGTTACCAGTCTTGTACGCTCCAGGGCGCGTCTTGCGTTGGCTGATACCCGCGAGGAGAGTGACAGCTCCACCGGCTGAGTATTAATGACACGCGAACGTTGTCAAGAGGGTGCCGATCTGACGAGTGTCACCCTGACCGAGAGACGAAGCGTCCATATCAGCCTCTCTCTCTCCTGACCCTGAGCCACACCTCTCCTCTGCACAAGGCCTGATTAAGATGGAAAGAAAGGTGTTCTTATCATCTTCTAAATTATGCCTCAAGAGGATCGTCCGGAGAGAAGGAGTAATCGTTCTCCTTAGAGCCGTCGTTATAGGGAAACGTCTATATTACACTGCCCAACAATAGTATTTACCTCAGGAAGCACAAAACTTTAGGGAATAGACAAACACAAAGTAGGGCTGGACAATAAATCTGTAATATCATGCAGTAGACACACATAAGTAGATAATACGTCTGAAAGAATATTCAATAATTTCACTGAACTCAGATCCAGCATTCTGGTTGATGTAGCGAGAGGAAAGTGCTTCAGCCACCAAGAAAGGTGGCTAGCGTCACCTAGCTCACTCTCTCTCCCGTCACCTAGCAACGTCTTGTTGAGCAATTTTCACAGCAGTAGTTTAAGGTTTTGCCACCATTAATAAAACTTTCATTTTAAGGCCTCGGATATGTTTGTTAGAGCACATTAGAGAACAAACAGCATCACGAAGACCGGGGAGCGCAGTACAAAGATCAGAGATACTGCTGCGAAGAAATTTAAATGTTCAGTCGGTCATGTGAAATGGGTAAGAGTACGGTTCAACTGCAAGAACTACCAAGCTACGGCCATCCACCTCAGCTTGACAGGCATGTTGTAGGACTAAATATAGTTGAGAATTTGTGGCAAGACGTGTTCTCTGTACATTCTGGAGACATTTTAATACAGCAATGCATCTTATTTAAAAAGAGGGCGCTGCTTAGCAGAATCGACAGAAAAAAATAATGATGGTGGCAATTTCAGTCTTTTGATATTAAAATCTGGTAGCTTCTGCTCACTATTGAGAGCCGAAGCAATAGTGAGCTTCTATTGCTTGAGAAGAATCAGTAAAACAGTTATCTAGGT